AAAGGTGATCTCAGCAAGTTTGATATAGGGGCATCACTCTTCTCTCAATACCAGCAAAAGTCTTCAACAAGGTATTGTTAAACAGAAAAAAGGACTCCGAGAACGCTGAACGAGACAAACAAGTTGCATTCAGTGTGTGATTGTGTACTGACCAACACCACGGATCATTGTAGGACAATCAGTTGAATGGAATTCATCACTCTTTATCAACTTCACTGACTATGAGAAAGCATTTGATAGCATAGACAGTACAACACTATGAATGCTTCTTCGACACTATGGCGTGCCTGAGAAGATGGTAAATTTCATACGTAATTCCTATGATGGATTAAAATGCCAAATCATTCATGGAGGACAACTCACCGACTCATTCGAGGTAAAGACCGGTATCAGGCAAGGTTCCTTACTCTCACCCTTTCTCTTTCTCCTGGTGATCGACTGGATCATGAAGACGTCAACAGCTGGAGGAAATCACGGTATACAGTGGACAGGCAGGATGCAGCTTGACGATTTAGACTTCGCGGATGATCTGGCTCTTCTATCACAAACGCAACAACAAATGCAGGAGAAAGCGACCAGTGTAGCAGCAGCCTCGGCAGAAGTAGGTCTCAATATACACAAAGTAAAAACAAGATCCTCTAATACAACAGAGTATGCACCAATCGAATTACACTTGACAGGGAAGCTTTGGAGGATGTAGAAACCTTTACATATCTGGGCAGCATCATTGATGAGCACAGTGGATCTGATGCATATATGAATACGCAGATCGGCTAAGTAACAGCAGCATACCCGCAACTGAAGAACATCCGAAACTCAAAATAATTGTCAACCAACACCAAAGTCAGAATTTTCTATAGAAATGTCAAGACAGTTCTACAATGTGGGGCGGAAACCTGGAGAACTACGAAAGCCATCATCCAGAAGATACAGGTGTTTATTAACAGTCGTTTACGCAAAATACTTCGGATCCGTTGACTAAACACTATCAGCAACAACATACTGTGAGAGAGAACAAATAAGATTACATCTAGCGGAGGAAGAAATCAGGAAGAAATGCTGGAAGTGGATAAGACTCACATTGAGGAAATCACCCAACTGCGTCACAAGGCAAGCCCTCACATGGAATCGTGAAGGTCGAGGAGAAGAAGAGGACCGGAGAACACTTCACGTCGAGAAATGGAGTAAGCTGGTAAGTATTTGCCGTAAAGAGAGTAAGACCATGAATCAGAGAGACTCAAAACTTCTTAAGCACCTCTTGATCACTATTTTAGGTTCATTTCCAAAGAAGACCATAGCGAATACTTAGAAGTTAGAAACTCAACATAGGAGGTTGAACTAGCTGATACTGAAGTCACAACCTGGTATTCTCTACCTTAGGAAATAATCGGAAAGAGGCTCTTCGGTTTTACAAAGGATATGTTCTCATATGTTTAGAACGAGCTCGCATAATAGTTTAATGACATCACTTCTATCTTAACGCCTGCAGTTTGAAACGTTTCGGTAAAAACTTTTGCGTATGGCTTTGTCAACAGTGCTGTTCAGATGCAAACACCTTGCTAATCGAGGCGATATCAGAAGTAAATGCTGCAAAGAAGTGTTTTGGTAAGCGTGGTCTGGACACATCAAATAGTATTCACTCTGTTGACAGGCGAATTGGTGTGAAGCAAACTCAGGTGATTTCAAAAAGTGTTGACTCACATCGATCAAAGGAGGAAAGACAGCCTACAGAGAGGTCTGTCTTAACTAAAATCTTAAGAAAATAAGATTCTTCTGTCCCCCGTCTTCTAAATGGTATCCAGCAGGAAACAACTAGAAACCGCAATCTCAAGGCTCGATCGGTTTCCAGCGGGAGACATAACCTAACTTCCCAAGTCGTCGACAACCCTCCGGAATCATAAAGTATGTTCGAGGAGAATGTGGTTGCTACTTCAACCAACGTTGACGAATGGATACAAGTTGTAGGCAACAAACGACATAACGATATATTAGAGAATCCTGCCCTCACAAAAGTAGTCGAGAAATTGAAGAGCGATCACAGGAACAGGTCAGTTACTTTCCATAGAATAAAAGAAAAAGGAACCGAAAACTCATTTTGAACATGACATTGTGCTGATAAAACAGCTACTTAACCAACTTATGCCTCAAAATATCTCCGAAGTTACCTTGCTAAAGGGTATAGACTAGGTAGTCTAGCGAATTTGAAGCCTAATTAATCCAAACTGCTTAAAGTAGTATTGAAATCTCCCAATGAACACTTAATCTCATGGAGTGGATATAAATAAAATGGTTAACAGGATTTTTTCGCAAGGACTTGCCGCTGGCAGACCGTGTGAAAAGACAGGACGACGAAAAAACTACAACTCAGGTTAGACGCTGTCGAAAAAGACCTAAAAATTTTAAACTTTCGGGTTGTGATGCTTCGACAGAGAATGGTACTGAAGCCACCAAGAGTGCAGCACGAAGCTATTTAAATAGGCTTCAGATGTGTTACACTAATGCGCGATTCGTAATCAATAAGCGGTCTGAACTAGGTGTACAGATTGACTCTACAATGCCAGACACAATCTCAGTCACAGAAACTTGGCTGACACAGTCTATAAGTAGGATGGAACCTGATCTCGAGGGTTTTCCATTGATAAGGGGAGACAGAATACAAAGGAGTAAAGGAGTAGAGTATCTATATTCATCAGGAATGCTATCCTATTCAACATTACCGACAGTGTATCCAATGAGAGTGGGACGCGTGAATAAGTTATTTACTGCTTGAAATGCAAAGGACAAGAGCTACTGATTGGTTTGGTCTACCACAGTCCAAGCTGTGAGGTAAATAGGGTCCTGCTAAGCAGTCTCAATACTTGGACACAAAGAGGTCGACGTCTAATCCAAGGGGACTTTAATGTACCCGTGGTAGAGTGGGAAAATCTGCGAACTGAATCGTTAGATAATTCCTTCGAACAAGATCTAGTTGATACAGTTATCACATGCGCCCTAGTGCAACATGTGAAAGGAGGGATTACGTACAACTCGGGCTCTAAATCATCCTTACTAGATCTTATATTGACTTACTATGACAATGACGTTGCGAACCTGGATTACATGCCACCCCTAGGCAAAAGTGATCATGCAGTTTTAAACTTTGACTTCCATATAACTGTCAATCACGAGCACGCCTCAGCTCATACCAGACCTAACGTCTGAAAAGCAAGTATACAAGACATCATGTACTCAACATTGTCAGTAGATTGAACGATAGAACCAGAGTCCTCAAATGAAACTGCTTGGTACGTATTTCGAAATCTATACTTAAAAGTTACAACATCCCATATCTTTCGGACTACACCAAGGGGGCCGAGAAACCCTCCAGTATGTTGCAGTAGAGAGTTTCGTATCCCTCTCTATAAGAGAAGAAAAATGTAGGATAGATTAAGATTAGGGCAAAAGGAAGAGGGAATACTCCTGCACTATGGGGATACAATACTGCCTCATCATTAGAAGAGGACGACTTTGGCAAAGCTCAAGTATTCGCAGACTAATTTATTATTGTATATACCATAAAATCACCTTTCCCGCCCGTCCATGCAATCCCCCCCACAAAAACGCTCGACAACGTGACCATCGGAGAACTCGAAATCTCCGGTAAGTAAGCTTGACATATGTAAAGCCACGGAGCCCGACGAATTGCATCTTAGGATACAATAGGAACTACCGACTCGTTAGCCTAATTAGTGTGGTTGTTAAAATCTTAAAAAAGTTTATTCTGAAGGAGCTGTTTAAGTACCTCGATGAAAATCGGATCCTTTTGAAGAAGCAGCATAGTTTTAGGACAGGTTATCCTTGTGTGACTGATTTATTAGTCGCTTGTGAAGCTGGTGCAATATTAGGGACCATAAGTTTCCTGTAGATGTGGTTTACATGGATATCAGCAAAGCTTTTCACAAAGTTCCGCACAACCGACTGTCATATAAGCTAATAAATGTCGGGTTTCGGAGGCAATCTATTGATGTAGATAAAAGACTTCCTAGTTCGGCGCCAACAAAGAGTACGAGTGAACTCAAAGTGATCTAGCTGGGAAACCGTGCTCTTTGGTGTTCTGAGAGTAAAGTTTTGGAGTCAGTGTTATTTCTCTTGTATGTAAATGATCTTCCTTTTGCACTATCATAATTGGTCTCGTTATATGCTGACGATGTCAAGATATGGAGAGCGATACAAAGTAAGGGTGATAGCTTAAGACTCCAAAATAACCTGAAAAATTATCTGAATTGTTTCAAACCTGGCAATTCTCGATAAATACTTCTAAGTGTATAGTGATATATGTCGGTCATCAAGGTACAGATACATGCACGATGAAAAATATGAGCTACCTATTGTCCAGACACGCAATGACGCAGGAGTCATCATTAGCCAAGACTTTAAGACAACTGCACACTGCCATGCATTAGCCGCCAAAGATTTTAGAATAGCAACAAAGCTGATTCCCGGAATAGCGAAGGTCACGTATGATGCTAAACTGGCCAAACTCAACCTATTCCCGTTGTCTAATCGGAGGATTAGAGGTAACTTAATTGCAGTTTACAAATTGCTTAGTGATAAATATGCATCTCAAATGCTCTCATTCTTTCTGTTTTCCAAAACCGAAAACTTACGAAGACACTCCAAAACAGTTCACAAACCCAGAACAAATTACTCGTCATCTGACTATCGACTTTCCCCTCGAATCATCGACGAAAGGAATTCATTATCCCAGCACGTGGTTGAGGCTCTATCCGTCAACTCTTTCAAAAGAAATTTGGATCAATTGATAAACCATCATTGCCCGGACTAACACATGCCGTCAAGCCTTCTGTCCTTTCGCAAATGAAACTGAAACCTAGTCTCAAACAATTAGACACCTACCTTGAAGCACTGATAAATAGTCGTTATTAAATATAGAGGATCTTTAACTAAAATGATGTTCGTGTGACATAACTTCAGCTATCTACAAGTGTTTAGATCGGATTGGATATTGAAAATAATTAAATAGGCAAGTAAATTCGAGACATTTAAATCCTCTTTTTGTTTTCGCGCAGATATGCACCGCAGGTTTTCACTTCAAACCACCTAATTCTTGTTCTGTTTAGTTTTACAACAGAAGAAAATAATGACTTCAAGGGAATTATTCCTATTATTGATCATGATGAAGAAAAGCCTATCACTGTACCTCAAACATTACTTAACGACTCTAATATTTCAGATGGTGAAAAGTGCGATAAAAGTTTGTGAACATTTAATGTTATAACTCAATTATTCCAGCAGATAATATCAATTGTATTGTGGGCGCTTTAAGATGTGCACTTGTTAGTTTCGAGTTAGTTGTGACTTGGCTCATTTTCTCGGCTTCTAGAAGGCATATACAGGCTGAAAATAATTGCACGAATGATATTAAAAATCTATGTAATGAAGCCAAATCGTTGCAAGCAAAATTAAGAGACAAAAAGGGTTTGATAATAAGTCATTTTCAGAACGTCGTTTCAAATCTTTCCGAGGAAAAGTGAAATGACACTTGAGTTAACTACAAGTTAACCTCATCTTTTAGACTTTCACTTTTTTTTAGAATAAATCCAAGTTATGCATATTTATGAGCGAGAATTTTGTAACCTGAAAATTTTCCCATATAAACACTGTTAAACTATAAAATAGAATATATCTACACTATCAATTGTAACTATCAGCGTGCAAACAGAAACGTTGTGATTACTAAAATCAAGAGCGTAACATTTTGTGTTACGTTCTCCTATAAGGTGATAACATTTTAGTTTGGTTTTGGGGTGTAGTACAAGAAGTATCCGTGAAATAGTTACTGATTTTATCACACAATTAAGAGAATGCCATTCGAAGTCCGGTATTCCGAATGAGCTGTAAAATAGACCAGTGAGAGTTCCAGTTGCAGAATCATTAGGTGAACGGTGAAAATTCGTATCATAAAAAGTGTTTACTGGGGTGGGATTAATTTACTCGCTAGTAAAGGTATTAGTAATGCAAAGACTTATAGTTTATTAACGGCTACTTTTCCAACTTATACTTTATAGAAATTTACGCCAGGACTCACACTTGCATTTCTCTATTGGAGTACTCAAAATCCCGTGTTTGTACATGAGTCAAGTACTACACACCCAAAATGTATTTGATGCTCCAAATAAATAGAGTTGAAACACAAGAATTAAAATAGAATATTACCTGTTTGGTATGACGCTAGAAAGTTTACTGAGTAATGCACAAGAATAATTTTCCTTTATAAATCTAAATTGGGTGTCATAATTACGTAGATAATACAATTATTTCTATCATACACGAAAACAGATTATGCACTCCCGTATACACTAAATTTCCTTTCCCGAAGTTTTCTAGTTAGGCATCAATTTCAATTTCATGGCAAAGGATACGTATGTGGTTATACAGCCCAGGCATCTGCTTATAGCTGAAATATAGGTCGCAGTTTAAGGCGAAGATTGTTTACAGACCTAGAAATACATATAAGGATTAAAGATCATTGTAGTTTAAGTTCATTTTCATTTATCATAGTGCTGTCGCCTGATAATTTCGAAGAGTTCTGAGACATATTTGTAAAATACGGTGAGTATTTTTGCCCACAATATCAGCTACCTAAGAGTGATAAAGTATATACAAATATTTATTCAGTGGATGCAAACATTTGATAATATTTAAGCCGTCTATTATGTACTAGCTCATAACTTGTAGGCATACTAGAGATAAAAAGTTGAGTGTGCCATCCTTGGAAAATAGAAAAATTACTTGAACTTATGTGCTATTGTTTGGTGAGGCAATCAGAAAAGAGCTTATGTGCGACCTTGATAGAAAAATTGAGAATAATCACTTCATTACATAAACTGTATGTTTTATTACTGAAATATTTTGTATATACCTTGAAAAACGAATAATTCTCTTCATGTGTGAAATATACATATCCAAAATCATGGCTTTAATGACAATAGTTAAATATTCCTCGTAACAGTAGTATTTTTAGAAGTAAAATAGTTGGGAAATACCCATCTTCTTACAAATAAATTGAAATGAAAATGGCATGACCAGTAATTTTGGACAACTTTCGGAATACATAACGAAAACTAAATCGGCCGAAATAGTTAATAGAAGGCAGTTTATCATGAATGTGGGCCAGTTCTCGTTCCATTTTCATCAGAACCATAACTTGTTGGTTTATGTGATTGGTGAACACGACATAAATTTGGAGTTATTGTTTCAAAACTAAAAAAATAAAATATTCTATGGTTAAATACTGAGTTCGTTTGAAATAATAGTTCTAAACTTGAAAATAAAAATTCAGTAAATTAAGGTAACGTAGGACGAGTAAATGAGATTTAAAATCGAATCAAGTTGATGGAAGTTATATTGAAAAAAGTATCGTATGAATCCGCACGAATTTCGTGTGGCTGTAAGACAGAAAGTATCTAAAACAATCTCAAAAAGTAGGTTATATGTCTAACAAACACTTTGTTTTGCTAAAAAGATAAAGAAATTATTCATTCTAGAGATACGCAGAACGGCAGAGAAATGATGTATATTTATCATCTTTAGATTTCCAAGCTAAGTGATCAATAGTTGCTGTGTCAATACAGGTAAACTTGTAAAATAGCACGCTAATTAGAGAAATTGTAAAATTTTATTTCTTCCAAATGTAGAGGAAAGTGAAGCAAAATATAAAGTTTTTGGTCGAAGTCCTCAGGATATATTATAAATATAAACGCAATTTACACTTGTGTCTACCAAAGCAGTGATTTTATTTTTAACTAATTTCACTGAAAACAATAAACTTACTAAATTTCTCTTATCCCTCTCGCAACGAAATATGAAAAAATTATCATTGCTACCAGGACGGCATAAAACCAAAAATTGGTGACATTGTCAGCTGAAAAGATATGAACACCACGTACAAAATAATAAATAGGATTATATAGTGTTTGCTATCATTTTCCAAGATACACTAATATATTATATTACCACAAAACTACATGATATGAAACAGAAAACAAATCCGTCTTTTAGTTTCTGATGAATACATCTTCATAGAGAGAATCTGAGATATATAGATGATTTACTACACAAATGGGCTAAGATTCTAGTTTCAAACATTACAATTAATAGAATTTCCTAAATTGTGCTAATTCGAACTCCATAATACAAGATAAGAGTATATTATCCAATTGTAATCAAAATCATGTTCACTTCCTATTTCTGACCAAAATTTCTTTACTCAGTTTTCAGACTAGTTATTAGTTCATTCACTTGACTACTATTACAAACATGGCAATCCTGGTACTATCCGAAATTCAAATTTTTGTTTAGTAACACAAAAGTCAATGATGTTACTATCACACTTATCAACTTAAAATTAATTAAGTATTCTACATATCCTAAACTGTAAGTGGAACCACACAAAATAATCAAGAATGCGTATGCTAAAGTAGACAGAAAGTCACGAAACAGAATGGATATTAGTTGAAGTTGGTGCTCTTAAATTAAGTGAAATTAAAAGATAAATATATCAACAAATAGACGATACAAATAGAAAGAGTAGGTAAAGACAACTGAGTAAAATGTTCCAGACTAGAAAAAAAAAACAAAGACTTGTTTGTAGCAGTATTACTGATTACCAGTGACACAATTTAGCCATTCAGTTAACGTTAAGTAAGAAACCCGGAGGTTTACAATTCAGTAGTTACTATTTTATTCACCTGACTACCTTCACGTTTGCCAAGCTACAACTGACCCAGGTAGCAGAACAGTGAGTCGGTGGTGGCTATGCACACGCTACAAATGCATCAGTCACTTTAACCAACAGATATCCGCAACTTCAATAATTAACTTAATTCATTTAATACAAGAATTTAAGAGGTACTGTGAACCACTCGAGTCCAGAGACATATAATGTCTTCAAAAACACACTCTATTTACAGCTCGGTGAGTATTTAATTCCAATCACTACTTCACAGCCTAAATGTGGCGCTAATGAAATTGCGTAGTAAATCTACCCTATAATATACAGCCTGTCCAGCTCAGATCCAACGCGTTTCTTTTATACCGAGCACCGCCAAGTTGCATCTCCTCCTTTCAGTAGCTATATGATTAGTCTTATAGGTCTCCAACGTTGTTCGAGCATTCCGGGTACCTATATGTTGTTTTGTTTGTTATGATAGGCATCAGCCTCGTGACTTCCAAGAAATCTCGGCTTTCATAATTTTTCTGAAGGAAGATTCCTCAATCCCTAGGGTAGAGTTTTAGTTGTTTATTCGAACTAGCGTTTTTTTCTACGGGATGGGGTTGCTAAATCCCATGTTAAATCATCCTCCTTTACCTGAGCTTAGGACCGTTAGTAACCCTAGAAGAACTACGGACAGAGTGGATAGGATATACATTGAGGGAATCATCAAACTGCATCACGCAACAAGCGCTAACTTAGGATCCTGAAGGAGAAGATCAAGAAATACACTGCGTCGGAAATTGGAAGCAGACATAAAAATATAATTGGAAAGGATTTCCCAGGACAGAATTCTATGGAGAACGCTGAAAGCGGTCTATGCTCTTCCACGAAAATTAACAGGCGTAAGTATAACAAATAATTGTGTTTCATTTAACACAGGATGTATAAGTTGGCCAAAACTAAACAATTTTGCTATAACTGGGTGAAGAGTTCGTTGGATATCAAACGATCATAAATATTGAGAAAAATAGTAATCCTTATATTTGGACAAATTTTCCTCTGGTCCAAATAAATTTCTGCAGAATTTTCACAAAGTATGGATGTGTGGAACAGATATCGAAAATTGCTTAGAGCTTCTTAGTATCGATGATTTTGGAGAGTTGGTTGGAATGCATTATCTCAAGAAAAACGTCTACTAAAATAGTGGAAGTGGTGTTACTGACATATAACATTCAGTGTAGAAATTCAAAATGACCGATGACTATAAACTCACATCTAACCCTTATTACTCCACTGCGAAACTCTGGTAACCATAACCAGCGTAGTATCAGTCTCAACAAAATTTCATAAAACTTTCTAATAAATGTACTTATTTGCAGCTTTATGACACAATTATATGAGTAAATCATTGGAACTGGAAACCTACTTTCGTGTTCTTTCGATTCGGTTTTGAAAAAATGATGACAGGAACTTCTTATTTCATAATTTTTTTTATGAGATTACGTCATTATAATATTGTGCCACTAGATAATGCGAACAAAAAGTGTGAACTCAAGAACTGAAACCACTGTCACTTTTACTATATTATACAGCTTTGATAAATACACATGAAGATTTATCCTAACAATTTATGAAGAACTAATGACGTCAGTTCGAAAGCAGTATTTTTGGGTCTACGACGATATAATAAAGCTCCAATAAATTTACATATAGTCAATGAGAAAATTACCATAAAACGATTAGACCACAAACGTTTCGAATTACTTACGAGGTAGATAAAGAACATGAGAGTTTACTTCATCCATTTTTAGTAACTGTCACTAAATTACCGAGGCTAGGAAAAGAAGAAACTTGATCAAACGCTTCATAAATTATTTAGTCCAATAGACTAAATAGTAGCAGAGGTAACCTTGACAATAATGGCCAATCATAGAAAAGATGAGGTCAGAAATTTTTTTGTCGTAAGCTGATCGATAAAACTATTAAATGTGAGGATGAATGCATGTGATTTCCGAAAAATGGCCAAATTAACACGAATAAGTAAGAGACAGTACTGGCTTGAAGGAACTAAAATGGATTATCTTACACAAAGACATACAGACGAATACCTATATGTACAAGTTGAATCAAATGACGTGACTGGAGTGGAAGTAACTGGACCTGAATAACGAATGAAGAAAGACAATAATTAACATCCATATTTACTCACATCTCACACCTAGTAGAAACTTTCAATTTAAGGAAATTTACGATTCATACAATAGATAAGTGTATATTTTAAAAAAAGAAGGCTAAAAATAGTACGGAGGTAGTAATATCTGAAAATAAATTGGAATCTTCGATTGCACAGGTGAATTTTCAGAAACACTGACAGAATGAACAATGCTTAGATAAGATTTCAAAACCCATCTTACATTCACATTCATCTTTTCTTAGCAAATAATAACGAATAATTCCAAGATAATCAGTAATGTGTTGGATAAGTCCGATTAAATCAGCCTATCAATATGTTATGTGAAAATAAAAAGTCAGGGATACATGGTCAACCATATATTTAAATCTTTACATCATTGTACACAAGAAAAAATAATCATTTCAAAATCAATTCAGCTTTTGACGCTTCGATTTAGTCAGTTTGGGCTTTTTTTTATGTTTTTTCTTCTCGAAGTGACAAGATTTTTGGTTATTGAAATGATCTTTATTTTTTCTAAGAAAAGTAAAATTTTAAAAAAAGGATATATACAAGTTAAAAAGCGATATAAAATCTTCTTAACATAATGATCCCTAATGTGTATCGATTGAGAGATCGGATATATATGAACTCAGACGACTATTTTCTAATAACATTTATGATATTCATGCTATTTCGCAGTCAGTGAGAAAGTTAATTTTCGCGTTCAACTCAGTAATTCTAATAGAGTAACTTAAAGACCAGTTGAATTTCTTCAGTCATAGGGTCCTTATAATTGCCAAATAAACGGAATACACTCATAGATACATAAAATAAACAAAAAGGAATGATTAAATAAATTTATTTTTAAAGCTATACAGACGCAAATATGTATTTTAATTAAAATATTAAGTCAGAATATATCTATTAAAAATAATGGTAAAAGTTTACTGATCAAAGTAACAGAGTGGAGTAAAAAAAACACAAGAATGTTATTATTAATCAGAAACTGAATAAGCAGTTGTTAAGATCTTGGATATATTATCAAGAAAATGGATCAAGAGTTGAATAATATAGGAAAAGATAAAATGTTGAAGTTGAAACGATATGAAAACCGGAAGACACATCATTTACTTCATATTGTACTTTTGGATTAAAGAAGAGTTACCTTAATTCGTGGAAATAACTTTTTGTTTTTGACAAGAAACACTTTTTATTCAGCAAGAAAAATGTTTTCGTCACACAACTGGTTCACATTAAAATTGCTCTCGGTAAATCAGTATGAAATATAAAGTTTCCAAGGGAATATAAACAAGTCAGTAGCAAAAGATTATTACAGTATTGTCTATACATGTTAAATAAATATATGGAATTTATAATCAATATTAATCTACCAAAAAGTAATAGCAGTAAATCATAATTCTCTTACACTATGAATTATTTTTACTATATAAGAGAATAGTTGAAAGATAATCACAGTGATTATTAATAGTGAATAAGTCACTGGTCCTACAAGCAATATAGATAAATTAATCAATTGGTGGAGTAAATTATTTGCTCCCATAATGAATAATCTGACCACGCCGATTCGAAACCAAAAGAAAGAAATTTTTTGGAAGATATAATAATGACCATAAGCACTTGTACTCATAAACTAGACTGAGTCACATCGATAATGTAAGATTTAATAATGCTATATCATCTTTCAAATCGTTTCAAGTAACTATGCGAAGTATATACGAAAACATTAATATGTTTTTAAATGAAGCGACTTCAACTATACTTTTTGCATAACTTACTACTTACCTTTTATTGTTAATTTTTTGATTTGATGATAATTTAACAGTAAGTGAAGAAAGATCAGCTCCATGTCCGACGACAGCTTCAGCCCAATCAGTTTCAGAACCTTGAATTTTGTAAGCAGAGAATAAATTTCTTTGGCCGGTAATTTCTTCAGATATTAATTGACGTATCAAAGTAGATCGACGTTCACGTTCAGAGTCACTGATTTCTGACTTTAATTCCAAACGATCAGTATTAATGTGTTCTGAATTTTTTGAATCACTATCGCTGTTATCATCTGAAAGTGAATTTTCATACTCTTCAAACATGTCTTCGTCAGACTCTGATAAAGTATTTTCATCTACTCTAATCGCGGCATAATTGCCGTCCTAGAAAAATTCAAATGTGACGAGAAAAACAAATCTTAGTGCACATTCAGTGCATTTATAAAGAAATTAAAAACGGTAACAAAACATTATCCACCTATAATAATAAACAGTAAGTACCGGGAAATATACATACTTCAAAATGAGAAACATTTGACAGGTCTGATATCTGAAAATACATGAATATGGCTTAGAACTAGCTTAGTTTAGGTTTTGCAGTACGAAAACATACTTTCAGATCCACGTCGATGACTGGCTGCAATTGTCCATCGATAGTATCCTTTTTTGATTCTATTCTACATTTTCTCTCAGATGCAAGTATAGAGTCTAACGCCTTGATATGCTCACGAACAATAACAAACAGAAGACCAAGAATACACTTAGTCCAACCTGAATTAACACCAGTATGTGGTCCCTTCTTTTTATGACCAAAACAATGGTTGTTAGATGTAAATCCAGATGGGTCGCCCTTTTCGTTAAGAGAATTTAGTATTGAATATACAGCATCATCAGACCGTACAAGTCCAGAAACTCGGATTTGAGGACGAGTAGAATCACCAAGTAAACGATTAAATTCACTGGATATTTGTTCCACTGTTTTATGTTGTAATCCCATACATAAAAGGATAACCTACATGAAAAAAAGGTTAGACAATTGACATGGTATACATATACATGGATAAATAAAAACAAAGCTTCATCATGTGATTGTAATAGAACAATGTACATTTACACTCTTCACACATATCGGAAGTGGCTAGGTTGATGACTGTGAGAGTGAAACAAAACAATATTCAACTAAGAACAAGAGTGAGTAAATTACCACAAGTAGATCACTTCCCCTTATCTTTTATTCTACGATAGGCTAACACAATCCGTTGCGTTTATCACTGACGAATAAGACCAAATATACTCTTTTAAAATCAGTTTTTTTGGAGAAAATAATGATATAGAAACAAAACGTCCGTGCTGCTATACTACACAATTCTGTTAGCCAAGAGCACACCAAATACTAACATGTTTTTGGATATGTTTACTTAAAGATTTTATTGCTGAAAGGTTGCTGGCTGAAAAATGAACATTGTACAATGTACATTTAGTTTACTATAATATTTGTACAATCCAATGATATTTGTAAAAGCGGAAGTTATTAAATTAATTTTCAAAGAAAATAACTAATTATTCGGATATGTTGTAAATGAAGTCAAGCACCTATAAAAACAATGTTAATATGTAACATATCTATACAGCATAAACTCGGCTTCGAGTTACACTTCTTATGTGAGATTTATTGATGCCTTAATTATTCAGTTTACAACGCATAAAAATTTCGGTAGAATAATACACCCAGTGATTGTAATACTACTTAAACGCCCAACCTAAGCACGTTTTTAGCCTGCGATCGTACAGATAAAATGCCATCGCTTTTACCATCAAGCCACTCCCCACTTAATAGTCACTCATGCAAACCACAAAACCTGGCATACGTAAACATCGGTTCACATAATAATTAGTTTAAGATGAGGAATAATACGGTGACAAGACACTTTTGCTATTGTTGTGTAATGATATGAACTACACATCATCCATAAAACTATTAGAGTTTGTAATTATCACTACCAAGGTCCAACTTGATAATTTAAAATAAAAAGTACTGTTTATATTGTTATTAATAGAAAAAATTGTATATTTGCAATTTCATTGTGCTTTGAAAAGTCACAATGGGTAGAAAATTGCAATTTCTGATATTGCTTCTTCAGAGAAGAATATCAGGTCAGGTTGCAAAATGTCAGAAATTTAAATTTAAATTCACTGATGCTTTACAAATATATTTATATTTAAATTAATAAAATTACTATGTTTACCTGTTGAGTTTTATTTAAACGCAGATTTGGCAGACGCCTTTGGAAATAAATCTGAGCTAAACGAGGTAACAGATCGTTGACAAGATGGAAATCAACAAGTGATCTGCTATAACGCCTTAATCTTTCTAAATCCACTGCATTAAATAAGCTGTTAATTTCTGATTGGGTAAGCTCTAATATAGAAAAAGAAGTAATCAAGGAAAACTCTTTTTACCAGTATATTTTTAAGCTGTGCTGGTATTAGCCTCATACAACTATATATAAATAACAATAAATCTGAATCAGCTTGGATAAAATGCTATTATGAGTTACGAAGTTGAAAGATTTGTAGAGCGATCCATCAAAATTTAATATACACTGAAAATCTATTCATAGGAAACCGTGAAATTTAGAATAAGTGATCTAGCTAGGCATTTGATTAATTTCGATTATTTAAGTCGGTTTTAAGCTAAAACAGTAACTTTATGGACAGGTTTATTATATGTCCTCCATATTGGAAAGCTAAAAGTGAAAATTGACTGGATAGTGTATCACGACGAATCGTAGCTACTTCAAGCAAACGAACTATAAGGCAAAGCAGAATGAAGTTAAAATCAACAGCATAAACACTTCGATGAAAAACAAAGATCCAAGTTTAACAATAATTTTAATTTAAAAACTATCGATAATTCAATCACTGCTTATGTTACAATATAGCACGAAAGCAGTGGAATTTCTAAAATTCTAGAATTAAAGTGAACTGATAAAATCAACGATACTCACAGAGAAATCATTAAAAAGAAAACGAAGCGTTTCACAGACGTTAATATGGTTAGTCAGAATCCATATAGGACCTAGTATGAATGTACATCGGCTCAAGTTAAAACATCAAATAACAACGAGATGAAAAGAACGAAATGGATGTTTGAGGAGGCTGGACAATGGTGTAATTAAACACAAAAATAATTCAAAAGGAATGATAACAAATTATATATATATATATATATATATATATATATATTCTGGAAATACATGATTCGTGCCGAATAACGGCCAAGATCAGCACAGTATAGATAGCAATGCTAAATGGAAAAAAAAGACATCTGATGCTAGATGAATGAAATAAGGGAATAAAAAGTATATACACAACTGCAATACACTGATAGGTTTAATATCATTTTTTAAGGACGTCAGCTATGAACAATTATGGCCTGAAGGAATGCATTAAAACCGTCCTGTGATAATCATAGAGGGATTAGTTTGACTAATATAGCATATAAAATACTAGCCTCAACAATTATCGAGCACCTAAGACTCGTGAACTGCAAACATGAGAAAATTAGACTGGCTTCAGACCTGATCGTGGCTGCGTCTACCACATACTCATCAGATCTACACCATATTTAGCACATCTTAGACAGACATGCTTATCAGCGTCAAATAATGATAGTTCTTCTTGACTTAAAAGCGCCATTTGACTCTGTAGACCGAGAGGTTCTGTGGTAGTATCTGTCATTGAAAGGTGTAACTCAAAAGTACATAAACCTTGTGAAGGCTTTTTACTCGAACACTACTAGTCGAATCAGAGCTTCTGGCGAAATGTCACCCAGTTTTACAACCTTAAGTGCTGCCCAACAAGGTTGTCCACTATCTCCATTTTCGTTCAAATTCATCAAAGACCTACTGTTGGAAATAACGCTCTCTTCGACTGAATTTTCAGGAATTGACCTCATTCCAGGAGGTCCACTTATTAACAATACCAGGATGTTTAGAATGAGTTTCTCCCTCTCTAAATGCAAGTTGTTGCTACAGCACTAGCCTGCGTCAACACCTGAATTAAGGATACGGAGTGAAGTGGTCGGACGCGTCGACAATTTCCCTTATCTCGGAAGTCTGATAAACCCTAATGGGTAGGTGTCTGACAAAATCTCAGCACGGATTTAGAAAGCTCGTTCGGCTTTTGCCAACTTACGTCACCTATGGCGAAGACGAGATATCCGCCTATCAATTAAGGGACGAGTATACTGCTCAGCAGTTCGTTCTGTTCTACTTTACGGCTCTGAAACATGGCCATTAAGAGTAGAAGATACTCGTAAGTTACAAGTATTTGATCACAGATGCCTTAGAAATATTGCTCGCATCTTCTGGGATCACCGGGTAAGTAATAGTGAGGTTAGACACAGGGTATTAGTAAATGTTGTCAAATCAGTCGATTAGGTTGTAAATCTTTATCGACTGAGATAGTTAGGCCACGTGCTACGTATGCCTGAACACCGATTACCACGACACACAATGCTGACTATTATTGAAGACAGACGGAGGAAAGTCAGGGGTGGCCAAACCAAAATGTGACAACAGTCATTGAATTCACTAACTTCTAGTCTGAGCCATGTTGGCAGATGCAGACTACTTAGTTGGGGTTCGCGTGACTATCGTAACCAATGGTTGGAGACTCTGTGTGACATGGCTCAGAATCGATCACAATGGCTTAGGTGTATACACTCTTTGTTTTTTCTTAAACCGTGAGATTAAAGTTGCTTCATACCTTTCTTTCTACCAACTAATTTCTACTTCCTGTATTATATACTTATATTCAATTTTTCTTTTATATATTACTACCACTGAAGTAACTACTTCTATGAATTTGGTGTTCATCTTGTTGTTCTAATGAAGTGTGGCAACTTGGACCGATGGATATATGTGCCTGGTCTTATGCTGTAGATGATTGAATGAAAGAATGCAAAACATGTTAAGAAGTTCGGCTTTCAGCTAATAAATAACAAGTTCGAACCTCATTCGACTTAGCACGTGGCCAATCAGGTAGTAGTACTAGCTCTTACACGAATACATACTTGGCAAATGAGATAGTAAATAACTTGAGTATTAATCATAGTTACAATGAAGATTCCAACTAGGTGGTCTGCACGTAGTGACACAGATTAAATTAGCAGCCAGTCCTGCTTCTTTATTTGGTTAACCCTTAACTTTCCTTCAATCTACTCCCTTTACAACCGCCACTAAATGTCGAAATAAGATGTAGTTTAGTACACGCACTACATATTAATAATTTTCGAACGTAAACCAAATATACAGCTTTCAACACCACTCTTATAGTGCTTGTATGTACTTCAATTTTAGTATTCAGTAATAAACGAAAAAAATGGATCTAGTACAGCATTATTGACAGAACACAACAGGCTGTTGTTTCTGATAGATTTCTAAGCAAAAAGTTGTATAATGTGTTTTTTACTTTAAAGGTTAGTCATTATGTTTTCGTAATTACTGTTTTTTAAAATAATTTGGCCGTTATGGATATCCTAGGCTTGTAATCACTTATGAAAACAACTACGGGGAATCTAAAGGGTAATCGTTTCAATGACAGATTTATAGAAACTGTAAATACATACTAGCAGAAATATACACATCTCCAAATCACATAAACAGAACCAATAAAATCAAATGAATATATACGGAGTATTTTTAAGAGGTTAGAAGAATTTTAGGGCATGTAAACTAGGTGAAGTTGAAAAACTTCATAATTTTAACAAATTACCGTTAGATATTTCAGTATCCATTGTTTTATGACTTAGGAGTTCAAGACCGTAAGTTCCATCCATGTGTCGAAATGGTCCAGGGAAAAGATGTATTAAACGTTTGGTAAAATCTGTATATATAAGATAAAATAATAATTATTATTCACATGATAGTGTATATGAAAGGTAGAATATTAGCCAATGTATAATTAACTTAGACATTAAGCATACGGTAAACAGAAATAATACAGTTAAAATTGACTCTACACCAACTGTATAAAATCGTCTTAAGGTGATTACATCATTAACTACGCTTTAATTCTTGAAGTTAAACATACATTTCAGAAAGTGGATAAAGGGAAATGTTCGCAGGAATTGACGTAGAATAGGAAAAAGTCATCTTTAAAGTAGAGGAGTTACTCTAGCACTGTAAACAACATAACTGACGAGCGAAATTTAAACAGAGTAAAACACTCCTATGATGAACAAAGAAGGGAGAAACATTTTGATGTGGGTTTGTTCTCTGAGCTGGATGGTTTGGTCGTGGAGCTTTCATCGTCCTTCTGAACGACATCATAAGCACAAACTTCGGGTAGAGAGAGAAACAAGCAGGCGAAATTGAACACACCACTTTATTGTTAGGAAAACTTATGCTGTTTGTTGGAACGGAATTTCACACATTAAATATAGTCCATCGGTCATTAAAAAATGTAGAAACTATCCCGAAAGTGTATGTCACTGAGCCCTAGCCAAATCATACAGCAGTTGGGTCACTTAATATCGAACAAATCATTGATCCCCGTCAAAGACAAGGACAACCAATGCGCATCAGTTAATCGTACGCCATGGACTGGCCCATGCAGTAGTGGTCACACTTTTACTTGTACCTATTCTAACGCATATAATTCTGTATTAACGTCGTTTGTATTATACGGTCTCCAAATCATCCACAGTACTTTGATACGATGAAGGAGTAATCCTCGTTAGGTGCTGACAGCAAAGTGTGACTTCGACATTAGCTGTTGGTCACACTATTCTCTTCTGACTCCAGTAGGCCCTCAATTATTCGACAGAGATCATCTATGTTGGTGAACTACAAGTGTATCGTTTCAAGTTGTCACAACTTACACAAACACAGCAGAGTAACTAACGCGAAAATAAGTAAAAGAGTGAAAATAATAATACCAACGGTAATGATCAACTGACCATAAAAAATCTAATTTACAAGGACTGAATTAAATCCTTAAATGAAGTGAATGGACTAATAATACTGTGAAAAACTTAATGCATCTATGTCAGGTGAATTTTACGCAATATCATCTAACTATATGTTGAGAACATCTCACCCTTTGATTCTGATCTCGTTAGTTACCCATTACTGTGCTAATGTCATGAGTGGATTTTCGAATTCGCATATTTCTGACAGTCATCATTATTTTTTGACTAATTATAAACACAAATAATTTAGGAGTGTCTTTAACTGTCTACATTGGTAAAAAAAAGACTCAATGAAAAAAAAACAGTACAAGGAAGAAAACATAAACAGCTAACAATGATATACAAATGAATGCGATCAATAACTAACCATAGAAGTAATTCTGAAGCCATTCTGCTGATTGAGATGAGACGCTTTGGTGCTTAAGTGGTTTCACCATTATGCATGTAAATTCCCCTGTCAACTCATTCTTTAAAATTAAAAACAAACAAAAACGTCGCGTAATTCCAAGATGTTGCATTTGGACTAAGAATACTTATGGATAAATTTACGAATATGAGATACTATTTGTCACAAAATGAATAACTGCCATTAAATTACTAAAAGTAGGAGATACTGTCAAACTAATAAATTTCATATGCATCTTCAAGATCTATGCAGATATTACCAAGGGTAAGAATGTTTAATAGGCTGTCAACATTTCAATGGCAATACCAGAAGCATGAAAATAGGAAATCATTATCTGACGCACCGATTACTACTGAATAATTATAGTTTGTCTTCAGTACAAAAATACTGAAGATAAACAGACCAAATTCGGAGACAACAATGTAACTACATGGAATTGATCTGTTTGATAAGCAAAACATAATAAAAAATATTATACACGAGTGTTCTATGCATGTATACTCAAACATTATTGTGGTACACATGAATATTGTTTACTATTCGCAGTATTGATCACTAACTAGGGATTAAGTAAAGGGTGCCCCTTATGATGTACAAGTATGGTGTGGGTTACTTATATCCACATAAGTAATATATAACGGTGGTCGGGCATTGAATGTATTTCAGTGGAAGATCGATAAATAGAGAACAGGAACCAAACGCAATTGATATGAAAATGCATGAGCAATAATAATCGGAGACGATGGACTGATATTTGCAGTAGAAACGTTCAAGACTGAGACAATTGACTGATAGTTTGCAAATTAACTATTTACTACATGGTTCTCATATTTTACTGAGATATTCTGTAATTTCGTGCCTAAATACATTCGTCTATCCCCACTCGTGTTCTTGCTCACTACACAAGTTGTTTGCATTGATGTGAAGCCTAATCATTATATACAAACGTCCTCGATCATATTTTTTTATTTATTATCAGTATATAAGATAGTTATACACACCCCATAGATTGTAGTTTTGACATTTGGGTATATAAATAACTTACAGGCACCTATGGATACACTTAATTACATAAGCACAAGTGAAAACAAGCTAAAGGAATATTTCGAAACAATACTTTGAATCGCGTATACAGATACAAAGGTCACATTTAATACAGAATATATTTTCAGACTTGACATCACAAAAAAACTATATACAAGTGACTTAAAGTAGATAGCATCATTGATGAACACGGCGGTGATGCAGATGTGAAGGCGAGGATCGGCTAAGTAACAGCAGCATACCCGCAACTGAAGAACATCCGAAACTCAAAATAATTGTCAACCAACACCAAAGTCAGAATTTTCTATAGAAATGTCAAGACAGTTCTACAATGTGGGGCGGAAACCTGGAGAACTACGAAAGCCATCATCCAGAAGATACAGGTGTTTATTAACAGTCGTTTACGCAAAATACTTTGGGTTCGTTGACTAAACACTATCAGCAACAGCCTACTGCGGGAGACAACAAACCAGATTCCATCTAGCGGAGGAAGAAATCAGGAAGAAATGCTGGAAGTGGATAGGGCACACATTGAGGAAAGCACCCGAATGTGTCACAAGACAAGCCCTCACATGGAATCCTGAAGGCCACAGGAGAAGAGCAAGACCGAAGAACACATTACGCCGAGGAATGGAGACAGACATGAGAAAAATGAACAAACATTGGATAGAACTAGAAAGGAAGGCCCAGGACAGAATGGGTTGGAGAATGCTGGTCGACGACCTATGTTCCATTTGGAGTGACAGAAGTAAGACTTAAAGTAACTTGGTTATTAGGAGAACTAACATTTTTATTGGAGCTAGGTATTTATTTCTACTATCACCAGAGGGGAATCATAATGAAAATATGTGCACTTGTACATTCTGTTCTCATGTAGACTATGTAAAATATGATGCACAACGAGTTTTTTATTCATACATTAAAATGTGACGCGCAACATTATATGAGGAAAAGTTCTAACCGTATAAAGTCGGAATCATATTATCATCAAGCAGAAGAGAATACTACATGATGTACGTTAGTATACTTTAATTATATGGAGGATACTGCATATTAGCTAGACATGAGAATGTTTTATACAGCACAAAACTGATGTTAGCAGGGTATATACATTCATTATCGATCTAGTCAAAATATTAAACATTCTAATATCTTACATCGATCTGGACTCGGCTTTTCGTCGGTGTCTTTACGAAAGATTGTAATAGTGTGAACTGGTGTGCTAACGTATTACATCTTGTTATTTTTAATTAGTCAACACATAAGTACTAATTTAAAATAAGTTATCACATAAGAATCTATTACCTCCACCAAAAAACCCGTTTGTATATACTGCATTCATAAGAATGGCATCTCTCAAAGTTTCCGATTCGCACTGACATATAAAAATCACACAGAAGTCAAAGCAGTAGCATTCCCGACATATATAACCGAAATGACCACAAAATAGTCATCAGAAAACTCTTACCATATTTTGACGAAGATAAACTGGAACATAACCTGATCGTTTCCAAAATCTTAACAAGCTGGGAGTAGCACCGAAAGAAACACCAATGTAGTCAAGTTTCTCAGAAGGACGTTCATTAAGGCGACTAAGCAAGGGGGGCAGACTCGCAGGTTCACGCCGTTTTATTATTTCTGTGAGAAGATTTGATTTATCTTCAGATAATCTTGTATTATTTGATTCCAAACTAGCATCTGAGTCATCCTGATCGTCATAGTTTCCTTCATCTAAATCACAGTTAAAATCTAAGGTTGAAGGTTTGGGTTTTAAAGATTTATTGGATGTTTGGTTCAAGCTTTTAGCCCCTTCAATAGAACCACTGCGGCCAACCTGTTCAGTTTGGATGTCAGTATGCTGATTTTCTGGAAAAACTGTGATATCCTAAAAGGGAAAAGCAAACAATTTTCGATCAGTCATTAATATAGCGCGAAGCTTCTCACTCATAAAATGAAAACTCTTACCGTTTGCTCGTTGTAATAATCATATAAGAGTTTCAAGGCTCTTGTCCCATAACCAAGACCTTGATAATCAGGATGAGTGGCTATTCGTACAACACGAACACCAGATAATTCACCAAAGTTGGCATCACAAAACTATAAAACAAAGAATTAATCAAGTACAGTAATCAATTGAGACAAACACACTGTATGAAATAATCAAAAGGATGTAATTGAACTTGTGAATTAAAGGAATAGACATATTTTATTTGTTCTCTAAAGCAAACTACAACTACACTACATAAACATCCAGTTAAAACTAAAAAGGATTGGAAACACTGGTATCAGCCCATAAAAAAACACAAAGATAATTTGAATATAACTTACGTAATTGACATAATAACTAGGGTGGAAATTTATTTACTTATAAGCAGACGCTAATAAAATTTGAGGAACACATAAACTTGTTTATTCTTTTAGTCTAAGGAACATAGAAACCACAAGAAACTTGGGCTACTGATTGATTCACTGGTATATTATGCACATCATTAACTGGAAAATGAAGAATAAAGCTCACTAATCAAATAAAGTCTGATATTCCAAGCTTTGGTCAACACCAGCTACCCAGAATGTTTAGTTTGAACCCATGATCTATTAGCTACAACTCAAATCATTTGACTAATATGTTACCCTTCAGTCAATAACAGTTTGACCGATCTTGATGACTTTCCTCCAACCAAATAGTAGACACAGAAATTAAGTTATACATAACTCGATTTTATCACTTTACGGCCAAACAGCTTACAGTCCAAATTACTTTGTCGATTTCCTGAATTAATGCTACAATGACAAAAAATATAAAAAACTTTTGTGCTACAGATTGTTTTTATAGGCACCAGTGAATCTAAAAGTGGAGCTTACTTACTACTTACTTACGCCTGTTACTCCCAATGGAGCATAGGCCGCCGACCAGCTTTCTCCAACGATTTTACTTTACTAATATTATCATCTGAAAAAACGTCTTCGAGATAAAAAGTTAAATCACTACTTTTCGTGCATCCACCATATAGAGAAAACCAATAACACAATCTTATATTTAGTGGGAGAATACCTGTTGAGACAATGTCCAAGGGATCAAATCACCAGAAGGACGTAAACCACGAGAAAGATTATGCATTACTCGATCCTTGTTTATTTTCCCCTCTAAAGAAACTTGCAGCACACAAAGAACCTCTGGTACACACCCAGATTTAGGATCATATGGAGCAAGAAGACAAAATATATGATGAGCAGGTGCATCAGAAAGTAGTTGTAAATCATTTGGAGAATTTTTGTAATGTGACGAAACATAAAGAGCCATCAGTCTATGTAAAAATATTTCCGTTGACTTGTGATATGAAAACAAAGTATCCCTATTAACATAATACAACTGGCATTGATCAACAGGAGGAAGATAAATATTGGCTTCATTAGCTTGTTGTTCACGAGACAGAGACTCTCCACAATCCAAACACAATAGGTCAAATAACCAGGCTTCGATTGGATCGCCACTAGCATAACGAATAGCTTCAGTAAGAGATACTTCAAATAAAACCCGTGAAGTATCAACTGTAAAAGAAGTAAACAATGTTACGGTTTAGAAATTATGATCCAAACTAAAAACAGACTGAATATTGGCTCGGAAGTTGGTGAAAAACACATTATAATACCAGTGCAATAGGGACTCCTGCTCACTTGCCAAGAACGAAATTCCTAACTATTGATAATAAAATTTGGAATGGTTAACCTCTTTGATAAATTTGGATAATGCAACGAGAAGCCGAAGATTATCAGAATTATGTGATATATTTTGGCAGTACATAAAGTTGATATTAAGTCATCCCTTGTAGTTTGTACAAAAGTTCTTAAGGGCATATATTAAGGTTTATTGAAGCCTTGGCTATACAAAACTGAAACCCTCTATATATGATCAAAAACGATTTGTTTCTACCCTTGTAATACTGATCCATTATCCTGCTTGGTTTTCATATTGTGTAGTTTACTATTATTCTTGTTTCCCTTTACGTCCTAATTTGTCTAGTTGAGTTTTGATTTTTCGCTTACTATGTCTTAACAAGTATATGTGTGGTCAGATTATTCCAAATGTATTGCCAATATATTGCACAATACTGATAAACTTCGTCTTCTCATCGCATTATCCGAAATGCTAATAAATCGAACACCTAAAATCTTAGCCTACAAAGATTATCTGCTGGAAGCTTATCATAAGGAATAGTTGATATTTTCTTTGATATAGATGAGGCCAATTTTAAAGGTTGTATCGTTGAATGGGTTATGAAAGTGAATAAGATAGTGACTCTAAAATAATTTAAAATACGATGTACGAGCAACCACTTAATTAATTAACAACAGGGCACTAATCAATCGGATGCAATAACTAAGTCAGTCAGTCAGCTACAACGTAGGACCAGGCACATATATGCATCGGTCCAAGTTGCCATACCTCGTTAGCACAACAAGAGGAACACCGGATTCGTAGTAGTTAATCTAGTGTTGGTAGTAGTATATAAATTATAGGTTGTATATAAGGATATAGTACAGGAAGGGAGAGAGATATGAAGCAATTTTAGTCTCAAGGTTTAAGGGAAGATAAAGAGTGTATACACCTACGCCATTGTGACCGATTCTGAGCCATGTCACACAGAGTCTCCAACCATTGGTTACGATAGTCACGCGGACCCCAACCAGGTAGTCTGCATCTGCCAACATGACTCAGGCTAGAAGTTAGTGACTTCAAACACTGATGCCATGTTTTGGTTTGGCCGCCCCTAACTCTCTTCCAACCGTCCCCAATACTAGTCATCATAGCGCGTCGTGGTAATCGGTGTTCAGGCATACGTAACACATGGCCCAACCATCTCAGTCGATGAAGATTCATCACCTCATCAACTGATTTACCATCGTTCCCTAATACCCTGCGTCTAACCTCACTATTACTTACCCGGTTATCCCAGCAGATGCGAGCAATATTTCTAAGGCATCTGTGGTCAAATACTAGTAACCTACGAGTATCTTCTACTCTTAATGGCCATGTTTCACAGCCGTAAAGTAGAACAAAGCGAACTGATGCGCAGTATACTCGTCCCTTAATTGATAGACGGATATCTCGTCTACGCCATAGGTGATGTAAGTTGGCAAAATTCAAACGAGCTTTTTGAATCCCTGCTGAGATTTCGTCTGACACCAACCCATTAGGGCTGATCAGACTTCCAAGATAAGTGAAGTTGTCGACGCGTTCGACTACTTCACTCCCTATCCTTAGTTCGGGTGTTGACGCAGGCCAGTCCTGGAGTAACAATTTACATTTGGATGGGGAGAAACGCATCCCAAACATCCTGGCATTATTACTGAATTCCAACAGAAGACTCTGCATTTTGCCAGCGTCTTCACCAAACAGGACTATGTCATCTGCGTATTCTAAGTCGCTTAGTGGTCCCCCTGGTAGGAGATCAATTCCTGTAGATTCAGTCGAAGAGTGTTATTTCCAGCAACAGGTCTATAATGAAGTTAAACAAAAATGGGGATAGTGGACAGCCTTGCCGGACACCACTTGAGGTTGGAAAATCATATGACAGTTCGCCATAAGCTCTCACTCGACTAATAGTGTTCGAGTAAAGAGCGTTCAAAAGGTTTATGTACTTCTCAGGTACACCTTTAAATGACAGACACTGCCACAGAACCTCTCGGTCTACAGAGTCAAATGCTGCTTTCAAGTCAAGAAAAACTATCATTGTCGGACGCCGATAAGCGTGTCTGTGCTCTAAAACTTGACGAATGGTGAATATGTGGTCGATGCAGCCACGACCAGGTCTGAAGCCAGCCTGATTTTCTCGTGTTTGCAGTTCACGAGTCTTAGTTAGGAGCCCGATAATTATTGAGGCTAGTATTTTAGATGCTATGTTAGTCAGACTAATCCCTCTATGGTTATCGCAGGATGATTTTGACCCCTTTTTATATATTGGGACAATCAGTGATTGTGACCAGTCGGATGGGATTACATCCGTCTCCCAGATTTTAGCCAGAATATTAGTCAACCTAATCGCTAAAATTGGACCACCGTATTTAAAAACCTCTGGAGCCAATCCATCAGGACCAGCTGCTCTTCCTCGTTTCAAATTACCTGTAGCCTTTTGAGCTTCAAGTAGGGTCGAGGGGCCTACTTCAATGTTCCATTGAGGTTTTCTAGGAATAGTGGGTAGTTGTGCAGTAGCCGAAGGCCAGCTAAACTGCTCCTTAAAGTGTTCCGCCCATCGTTCTAAACGTTTGGGTTGAGAGCAGATAAGGGTTCCGTCTTTTTCGGAGATTGTCTCACTCACACTTGACTTCTTAATTCCGGTTTCTTTTATTAGTCTGAATAGTTGCCTGGTGTTGCCTACAGCCGCTGCCTTTTCCATCTCTTTTGCTTTCGTTGCCCACCACTGCTCACGATCGTTCCTTAGGCTTTTAGTTAACCTAGATCTAATTTGTTTACGCACTTCGTCATGTTCAGAGCCTGATGGGACGAGTTTGCGCGAATCCATCAGTGAAATAGACTTAGAGGAAATCCATTGGTTTTTTGGAGCCCTATGGTTTAAATGACTAATGGATGTTACTGCCGTTTCCACAGCTGTTCGTGTCTTTCCAAACAGCATCTGGGTCAGTCTCGTTTACAGAACTGCCTAGATGTGAACTCAGTTGCTTCTGGAATTCGCATTTGGCTTTCTCGTCCTCCAGTTCAATCCTAATGGGTCTTCTTAGTGTACTTTTCCTGCGTCCATTGAGGCGCAGACAAATGCGTGCTCGTATTAAAGCGTGATCAGAGTCTAAACAAGTATTCCAATACGAGCGACAATCTTCTATTGAGCCTCTCCAACGATGACTGATGACAATATGGTCTATTTGAGTCCATCGTTGGTTTGGTGCAGGTGGTCGCCATGTTAGACGATGTCTCTCCTTATGTTTAAAATTAGTGCTTGCTAAAAATAAACGATTGTCTGAGCATAGTTGCAACAGACGATCCCCATTATCGGTTCGCTGAGCCGGAATACTAAAACACCCACCTAAATGTCTTTCTGTTTGATTTAAGCTGCCTACCTGGGCATTAAAGTCACCCGCTACGACTACTATGTCTGAGCGCTTAGCTTTCTGAAGAAGCTCAGAGAGTTTTCTGTAAAAGTCATCTTTTACTTCATCATGGCTGCAGTCAGTGGGAGCGTAGGCGGAAACGACGAAAAGGCAACGACGTGTGTCCCTATCCTTCCGAGTTCTTACGGAGCCATTTAGCCGGACAGCACACAGGCGACTGTTAACGGGGATCCATTCTAGTAGTGCCTGTTCTGCCCTTGTACTTAGTGCTATGCCTACACCTGCAAGTCCACGAGAACTAGCCAACGGGTCGCCAGATACACGGAGGGTGTATTTCGTCGGCTGTCCATTTTGGCGAGGTGAGGTCAAGTGAATGACCACACTAGGATCCTGTATGCGTGTTTCGGAGACACAGCATACATCAATGGTACGAAATTCTAGAGTTTTAGCTAAGGAGGCCTGTTGACCGATTTGGCATAGGGTACGTACGTTGAAGGCTCCAATGTAATACCTAAATAATGAATTAATCTAGCATTCGACAAAACAAAGCCTGATACGAAGTGTGTCACTAAGCTGACATACTTGACAACGTTAAAAAGGATTAACAAAATACAGTAGAATCATCAGAGTAATGAGTAAAGGGACAGATTAAACAAAGAGTGGAGAGCTGGAGACAATCGCCTAGGATTTCCTGATAACTACCTTCAACTATATAAGACCTAACAAAGTATACCACGACGATGAATGAGGTTAATAACCGGATTAGACACTAGATTATTATAATCCCATCAGAATGAAGACGGAATACAATGGACACCTTGCATGCAACTCGACGATTTGGGCTTCTCAGGTCACCTAGCCTTTCTATCCCATACACACCAACAAGACAACCACTGTCGCAGAAGCCTCTGAATCATTAGGCTTAAACATATACAAAAGAAAAAGCAAAATCCCCAGATACAACACGGTGAACTCCAACCCAGTTACGCTTAATGGAGAAGCTCTGGAAGAGGTGAAAACTTTCACGTACCTGGACAGCATCAATGAACAAGAAGAATCGGATGCAGACATAAAGGCGAGGATTGGCAAGGAAAGGAGAGCGTTCCTACAGTTGAACGTAAGGAACTTAAAACAACTGTCAACTAATGTCAAAGTCAGATTCTTCAAACGAACGTCGAAACAATTCTACTCTATGGAGCTGAAACTTGGAGGATTACTACTACCATCATCAAAAATGTACAGGCATTTATAAACAATTTTCTACGTAGGATATTCTTGGCTCGTTGACCGGATACCACCATCAACAGCCTACTTTAGGAGAGAACAAACCAGCTTCCAACTGAAGAGAGGAAATTAATAAAAGACGTTCGAAATGGATAGGAAATAGATTGCAGAAATGATCAAACTGCATCGTGAGATAAGAGCTACCTTGGAATCCTGAAGAGGGACGTAAAAGAAGAAGATCAAAGGACACATTGCATCGGGAATTGGAAGCAGACGTCAAAAAGATGAATGGCAACTAAAAAGGATTACCGAGGACAGAGTTCGGTGGAGAATGTTGGAGGGCAGCCTGTGCTTCTCTACGAGGAGTAACAGGCGTAAGTAAGTAACTAGAACGAAGAATGACATGATATTATAGCTACTGGAACAAAGTAACTGGTGATAATTAAGGGATAAGGAGAGGGTGTTCGAGGTTAAGATAAATGTGCAAAGTACATACATAAGCGTGATTGATTTATCTAAGTTTAAAATCATTCTCAAGATATTATTTGATTGTCAATAAGAGAAGTTAGACAGATGTCTCTTTAGTAAACTTTGTGTTAACATTTAATAACATGTCATTGACCACTTTGTACTCTTTCGAATTAGTAATAAATAACAAAGAGAATATTTCCAAAACATCTATTTAAAGACAGAAACAAACTACAAAAGGTGGTGTATCTAATTTAGTTTTTTCTGGAGCCTTTGTCAATGATTTATATACAGTGCTGAATACTATTTCAGTCTCATCAGTCGTTAAGAATTTTTACGAATAAAATAAACATGCAACGATTACCTGGGTTGAATTACAAATGCTCAAATGCACTGGTACGGCCGAGAGTGTGGGGAGTCCGCTCTCCCTCTCGAAATGCTCTCATATTGCCACGCGTATATAGCCTCTGACAGGGAAGTCCTACTCACTGCCTTCTCGTGGCATTACTATTGTTTACAAAATTGAGAGGACGAAAGGCGAATGTCCGGCGCTTTAACCGGGTTGGTGGACAAGGAGAGTCCATCTAGGGGAGTTGGAAAACCCTGATTCCGAACCAATGGTGCACATGGGCTCCAGTAACCTGAAGGAACAAATGGCATATGAACCACTCGTTGGTCACCGGCTACCATGGGACTGCATCTCCTCACGATGCTCCACTGCCTTGTGAACCAGATCTTTAGGTCAAAGGCTCCGGGTGTGCCCCCCTAAGAAAACCACCTGCTTCAGTTTGGGCACCTGGGCAGTATCACAGCCCTCACACAAATCAAATGAAATTTGTGCGGCGCATATGTATTCGGTGCCTCTTTGTACCAATGTTTATGTGTTCAAATAAATAAATAAATTACAACAAGAATACTTTAAAAATTTTACCTATTCGAAAGCCTTTTCCCAATAACATTTTATTTTTCTCTGTCGACTGAGATTTTACATTGTCGGTTGACAACTTTGCTGTAGTCCCTGATATGGTGCATTGTGATCGCAGTTGACGTAGTAGTTTGAAGGATAATGATCGGCCAGTACCTTCATAACCATTAATAGTGGATGCCATGAATACAATTCTCGGACCATTGATAATGGATTGTACAAGAGGTAATGGAATGGCAGCAGCTTCGTCTATACATACTAGATCTGCTTGTTTGACATTCGAGAGGGCAGCCATTTCCCATGGCGGTAAATATATAAGAGATTGTCTGTGACTTCGTCTGTAAACGTCGATTTTAACTATAGCTTGATTGTGTTCAGGATTCATTGAGCGACTAACAATATACTCCTGGTGCTCTTCATAATGAAAAGCATTTAAACCGTTTACAACAAACTGCATAAGTGTATTTAGGTTTTCCGGACTGGGTGCAGTAACATACAAGTTGGGCATACCAGTTTCAAAAGCAGCAGCTAATCCAAGTCCCAGTGCCGCAGACTTACCCCGGCCTCTACCGGAGGTTACAACAACAAAGGCCGATGAGCTACTAGTTTCCTTAGTTTCAGCTCCGATCGAGGAAAGAAGAGAGTTTGCCATAGCCAGGGAGGTAGCATCCTGAGTAATTTTATTGTAACCCTTATTTTGTAACTGTGAAGCCGAAGCCAAAGAAGCACAGAATTGGACAAGACTTTTAGCCTGGTCAAATGTGATACACAGCTTGATTAGAGGAGCAAACAGTGAGCCATCTTCAGCTAAGGAGACCTGGAAACAAATAACAGAAACCATAAAAAACTTTGAAATGATGCGCCTATATCAAACATTCTGAAACACGTAAATAGACTATACTATGTTCATGAATAACGTAGAACTTGTAACATTCGCAAACCAACTACCGTATGTTTAGTTTAGGATTTCATTTAAAGTCATTCCGAATGAATAAGAGAAGCTAAAAGAAATTGAAAGACATGAAACGAAAGGAGTAAACCAACTAACGCATAAATGAATCTATTGTACAATTTTTTAGAGTTAATTTAATAAGAATAAACCTCAAATCACAACCAACAGCATCCGGAATATAATTTGATCACATGTTGACTGTTTAATACGTAAGAAAACGGAGAATATTGGAGACCCCAAAGTCACATAATTCTGAAATGCGATTAGACGGGAACCGACAATGTGTTATGTAATTTAGGACTGTTTAATTACATATTACGTGTTCCATTTCTTTGATAAAACACGTAATTTCCCTAGTTTTTCATTATCGCTGGGTTGAAGAATCTCAGAACATGGGACAATAGATTATGTTTAGTCACTTGAGTCATCATTGCGCATACCAAATCGACAGATATTCATTCGGAATGTTAACATTTGTATAGTGCTTATTGCAATCAAAATAGTAAGCGGTAAACAGTTTTTTACACAGAGTACATCTTTCAGATATAGGACAACAATGAATTCGTTGTTTACTACCAACAGATCCCAACCACTCGGTTGAGATGAATGTGGTAACATCGACCAGTGTTACAAGATTTTAGCTGACATGGCTCAGAATCGTTCACACTGACACAATTTTATTATCTTATTATCTTTTCGATTTTGAACTCCAATAGTCTTCTATGTATAACTCTGTCGCTTAACACCATGTTCTTTTCATGAGTGCTACTGAAACTTTCAATTCACTATATCGCGCAAACGGGCTACATTTAGATACTCACAGCACTATAACTACACTCAAAAGAACCCCATTACCGCGGCTACAACCAAGTAATCTTCCGAACAAGTTCCGGATAACTGGGCTAAAGAACTGTACAATTGAGTATCGAACACGTCATTACTATAGTTTTACTATCCTATATAAACAATATGTGTAGGAAAATGGACAGGTACATGACTGGTCGAAAGATTACGTGTCCACTAGATTGGACGTAGTACTAGATTGTAGGTTATAACTTACTGGAATAATAGAAATTACTTTAGCACAAAAAATGAAGTAGCTAGTTGACTATGAATTTAAAGTATACATCATGATACTATTCATGATCTTATCATTATAAAGTGACATTTCAACTTTAATAACATTACTTTGAGCTTTTGGAGTTCCTTTTGTTCCAGAAGAATAGACTCATCGCTAATATCAGCCTGCAATGACGTTAGTGAACTGAGAACTTTCTGGGACAATGGTAGGACATTCCACCGATCGTCTAATACAAGACATCGGGGGTTACTAGCCAATGATAGTAAAAACCTTTCGTTAAATCGACCGACAACATTGTGTTGGGATTCAGTGCGATATCGAGAATGAACATCCTGAAAAAACTAAGTATTGAGATAAGAATACCATACCATAACCATAGTACAAAGTTGTTGTAAAGAGGCCATAGATTTTAACAAAAACACTATGAGACCTCCACCAGATACAGTTTCAATAGTCCGAGCAAGTAAATTTGGTGTTAGAGCTTCGAAATCTTGAAGCACACACATATCGAAAGTTTGTCCAAGAATTTTATGTGACTCGTCGTAATAACACCAACGTATATCTGTCGAGCATACAAACTGCTCAAAAATTGTAGCATCAGATGTTAACCCTGCTTTCCGCCTTTTGCTAAACAAATTAGGATTTATTCGTGAACAACATACTTCAAAAGTTTGAGGTTCTTTTTGCGGTGACTAAGAAAATGACAATAAAAAACAAAGCTTACGTGCTAAAACTCAGCTCCTTTTTGTAGCACCACAAAATGCTGAGTCGTCCTTTACTTGAGAGTGAATTTAAAATTTGATGCATTATGGGGACCTAGACGTCAAGTTTAGATTAATTTCTTGAATCTAATTTCGGCTACCTGGTCCTGGCCTTTATTCCCCACCATGACAAACATCGACCTATGTTTTCGAAGAATGCCATTTTTAAGCATTATCTGTATCCTATTATCTAACTTGTGTAGCTGTCCCATTATCGAATGACCTTAATGGCAAAATGTGGAACTCGAAAAGCCGCTGCCATTATTAGTATATCAAAACAATGTCCATATAGATTTAGGCTTTGAATAGAAAACCACTACACTTTTCATTTTCTAGTTAGCCAATTATACAGAAATTGAAGAGTTGAAAATGCAAACAAACTTTCAGTATCATATTTTAAGAGTGAATCATATATTGCGTAAACCTATACTGCAAGAGGTTATAGTTCACTTGAAAGCATTTGAATTTGTCTCCTATATCTTGTTGTGAGTTCGTACTGAGGATACAACGGAGATTCTAGTTTGGCAACTAGCAACCAGTAGTATCTTCTATAATCGTTCTTTCCCAGTCGAATAGAAACCAGAAGTCAGACGAGGAGAGGTAAGAAAGATATATTTGATACGTTACCAATATATCGAGGAACCTTTATTATAAGCTGGCTAATGAACATAGGAGCTGTGCCCCACGCCGTGTTGCAACATGACCTGCTACGGATGCATGACCGAAAGCCTTCAGTAAAACAAGTCCACTTAAACAACGTGGTCAGCATCCAATATTGAACACTTAGAAAGTCATTGGTTTTGGGGAATTATTTACAGCTACAGATCACTCCTCCCCTAGTGAGGTAGTGATGCCCCTAAGACGTGACCGGCCAGAAGTTTAAATCCAATGAGTTTGTCGTTGGTAAACACTCTTCTGATAGCTTGCTTCGTTTAGCAGCGTCTGGTCGTCTTTCCTTAAACTAAGGGAACAAAATGTACAACAGAGGAATAAAGAAATATAGTACAATGAAAATTTTGGTTCCTTGCGAAACTTCGTCTTTCATTTCCAGCCATCCTGGAAAAGAGAAAAAAATAGAACGTGTGAGTGCATGTCGAAAATACACTCGTACTTGCGTAAGGACACAAGATGAGCGGAAAAAATAAACTAATACACTTACAAACAGCGTAAAAGCGATCGGAAAAAAATGGGTTTTTTATATATAAAATATATATATACGCTCAAAAAAATAATAATGTTTTGTTTTTTATATAAATAAATAAAATGAGCATATTAAAAAATTTTTTTATAATAAACTATGAAAGGGTAATTCAAGATAAAGCTTATGTCCTACGTGCAATAGTCGTTAAGATGTTCTGGAAATCTTACTCGTCGTCCAGAACGCTTTGTTTTAGGTTTATCTATCGACGTTGACAAAGTATCAAGTTGTGTGTCGGTTGTCGTGTATGGTACTACGAGTGTAGGAGCCGTGTCGTACGACTGTACCGAAGGAAATTCGACGTAGCTAGGGTTTTCTTCTAAGTACGCTGCTTTGAGTCGATCGATACTGATGCTATCGTTCGTACCCTTCTTATCGACTAAATAGTACTTGGGCTCGCGTTGAAGAACTTTGAAGGGTCCTTCGTATGCTGACTCGAGGGGTCGTCGATGTGAGTCTCGACGAACGAAGACGTGTGTACTATGTCGTAAATCGGGTTGAACGAAAACATCAGTTGATTGAGGTCGAGTGTGAACAGGTTTAACTCAACGCATAGCGTTTGTAAGCCTACTCGTGTAAGAGTTTAGATCCATGTTCAATGAAGAAGCTGAAGGATCCACGAATTCTCCTGGGAGTCGGAGTGTCGTTCCGTAAACGAGTTGAGATGCCGTGTATCCAATGTCAGCTTTCACTGCATTGCGGATACCTGGCAAGACGAGTGGAAGATCGTCTGTCCACTGTGAAACGTCTGAAGCTGATAATGAAGCTTTAAGTTGTCGATGAAAACGTTCTACCAACCCGTTTGCTTGTGGGTGGTATGCTGTCGTTCGGAAGCGCGTGATTCCTAAAAGTGAGGCCAGACAACGGAAAAGTCCAGATTCGAACTGGCGTCCGCGGTCTGTAGTGATGGTTGAAGGGCAGTCGAAAATGGTACCCATCGTTCGACGAAAGCGCGAGGATTTAAGGCTACCAACAAAAGCACAAAAGTGCTTTCGCGAAGGCTCGTTTCATTGCGTTTTTGAGAATTGCTTGTTAGGGACAAGGGCCAACCGAACACAAAAGTGTAATATTAGGACTTAATTCGCTGCAAGTAAATTTGTCCTTGTCAATATAATAAAAGACCCACTCCCAAAAGTTTAAATATGTTATGATGCGAATAAATAATCTATTATACCTTACGTGGAAGTCGTATCAAAGTCATAACTGACTCATCTTATCGTGAGAACCAACAACATAACGTCTGATACTTTTTAAGGATATATTTGGGCTGAGTAGAGAGTAACATATTCAATACATAAAACAAATGATTACACAGGCTGACGACGCCTGCATGACTGAGTCATGCAATTTCTACCCGTCGACGCCTCGTCCACCATTTTTGACCCTCTCTAAGTATTACATTTTGAATGCCAATCATCTCAGTAATTATACTATCTTCTTCACAGATTGTGTGGTTAGGAAGCAACAGCATCACAAAATTTTTATTTTCGTTCCAACGTAATGCTGTAAAGTATGGCAAAATATTCAGTCGTAGGATTGAAACATTTTCTTAGACATTCTGTGGAGTGTGTGGAGCCGTCATCCCCATCAAAACACACTTTCGTCGTTAAAATGAGGGGGTAAGGAAATAAAAGCTTACATAAAAAGTAGGTTTGTAATTCTGAACCTATGAATAATTTTTACTATTTGCAATTTATGAGTTAACTCCTTCGCCTAGCTTCTTAAAATTAGTTGTCACACAGCACCAGGAAATAGAGAATTACCACTGCGGAAAAAATGACAGATAATTTATATGATACCATGTTCATATAATACAAACGCTTCTGAGATCTGAGACAATTTCCGTAGATCCCACTGTTGATTAAACGGTGATTTGTTTATGATGGAAAACCAGGAATAATTTCAGACCCAGACAGTCTTTTCATTTACTTAACACATGTCAGAAAGACTCGTAAGACCGTAATATCGGTTTATATGTCAAGCCCATATACTTTACTCTAGCCACTGGCCAAGCCAATTCACCTATATATTATGAGTCATATTTTGATCTTGTTAATTATTCGCTTATTAACCTTTACTACTTTTTCATATGAGCCTGTATGTTTGCACACTTCGTATCTTATTCAACATATGTCTGTCATTCATTTTTGTCTGCTATAAATATTAATTAACGCTTGCTGAAAATCAGTTGGCTTCCCCATCATCTCCAATATACATTATTATCATTTCGCTCCCGAGTTGGCTTACCACTCATCTCCAATGTGCTTCATTTGCTAATAAAACTGTAGTTGCCGCTTCACTTTGCTTTCTGACATTATACACCGTTAAGACTTATATTATAACAGTTATCAGGGTAAACTATTAACGAAGCACGGTACTACATTATTGGAGGCCTCGCCGAATGAACACGGATCATAATTGATAACCTGAACGTACTATAGAAGGTACTATTGGTTGCTAGCTGCCAAACTAGAATATCCGTTGTATCCTCAGTGGTGAGACCGACGTGATCTGGTACACCAAGCCAATATACCGTGAGTCTGTTCCATTTTGGAATACTTTTATTCATTGTTATTGTTTATTTGAATTTTATATATTGTGATGTACTGTATTTTTGCGAATTTTTCATCAACATACGCATGTAAGAAGTTGAGACCTCGGAAGACGTCGTCTATAAACCTTTGGAAGATTTGAACCGCGTTTCTTAAACCAAAAGGAGTGATGATGGTGGTTTTAGGAATGTCGTCAGGTGCCATCAGGATTTGGTTATAAGCTTTAACCAAGTCGATTTTTGAAAAGACAGTTGTACCTTTCAAGGTAGCTGTCAAATCTTGAATATGAGGCAACGGGTAACGATCGGGAATGGTTTTAGCATTCAGACGCCGATAATCACCAGTTGGCCGGCAATCATTGCTGTCCTTTTTAGGGACCATGTGCAATGGGGATGACCATGGACTGTTGGATGGTCGAATTATCCCTAAGTCTATCATATGGTCGAATTCGCTTTTGCCTAACCTAAGGTTCTTGGGAGCGAGTCGACGGGCTTTAGAGAATACAGGTGGTCCTGTAGTCGAGATGTGATGTGTAACATTGCTGGTTACACAAGGCAATTTCGATTGCGATTGGTATATCCCGGGGTATTTGTCGAACACTGATTGGTACAATGGGTCTATGGTGTGCTTAATCGTGACTGGGGATAATCTGCAACAAGAACAAGGAGTTACGCAAACAGATAACTTAGTGTTTCCGTCTATTAACTTTCGTGAGCGTGTGTCGATAAGTAGATTGTGGTATTGTAACAGGTCTATACCAATGATTGGCATAGAAACATCTGCAACAACGAAAATCCAGTGTATGGGTTTGCGTAAACCCACGTTAAGGTAGACGTACCTTTTACCGTAAGTAGCGATCGGCTTTCCGTTTGCCGCCTGTAAACTTAAAACAGACTCGCAAGGTCTGTCGTCGGGATTTGCTGGAAGAACGCTAACTTCTGCGCCAGTGTCGACGAGGTAGCGAACTTTCGTAGTCACATCCGTGACGTATAACAGACGGCTGTGTTCGCCGGCTACGGTTGCCGTTAACGTGTGCCCGCTGGGAAGTTTCCCGAAATCTAATTCGTGTCAGTCGATTTTGAGGTCGGATAATTGCAAGATTTCCTGCAATTTCTGGAAGACTTACCGTACTGGTCATAATACCAACACCAGTCGGGATTGTCTGTCTCTCGTGGTCGAGAGCCAGATCGCTTACGTGAAACGCTACTACACGGGGTTTTTGACCGACTACGGTCATTACGAACTCCAAGATATCGTGTAAGCGTGTGACATAGTTCGGCGATGTCGTTCGAGGTCGATTGAGGTTTTTCTATGATGGAAAAAACCTCAGCCTTAGAAGATTTAGTGATTTCTAAGATTCGGTCGGCAGATGCAGCCAGCTCATCTATGGCATTGTTTTGAAATGAAACAAGCACTGCCTGCACCTGATGAGGAAGTTTAGACAAGAAAAGTTGTCTGAATA